ATAGTTACACCTGGTAAAGCAGCAATGCTGATCGTTTTATTAAAGATGAAAGAATTTAGACAGTTTTTAACGCTCAGTGATGCTGCAGTGTTCGTTTGACCTGAAGTTACGGAGTTTAGGACCCAGATTGCTCCCAGATTTAAGGGCATCTTAGTCCGACGGCCGCTTGCATGTTCTGCAAAAAAATGTGCTTTGTCGTGTATCTGACGGACAAACACCAAACCAGTTCCACATCACTGAAGTTGCACCATTTTTACAAACCAATTCTGGTTCATCTGTTTCACTCAACAATCGGCCATGTGCGTATGAAAACAAAGGCACTGCGCATGCGCGTTTTACTCATATTCTATCGCGATATTTCATTTTCCTATCGTTGCCTAACATTATTACCGTGAACGGCATAATATGGCCCAGCCCTATACTGAACTGATTTATTTCTCCACTAAAGTGCGACCTCTTAAACTCCAAAATTCCTTTCATAAGACCTGAATACTGCAAGCATACAAAACCTAACCAATGCAATAATGCAACACTACTATCGGTAGCGTGGAGAGGATGTCACACAGGCTTAGTACAGCCGAGCATATAGCAAAGGTCCGTTGGGAGCATCTGGCTGAGGCCTCGGGCAGTGAGGTCTTTAAATCCCACCCTCAGTCAGAATCTCAACAATATTCCAAGGAGATCATGAGTGCAGTAAGGTCTATGTCAGGGTGCTGGAGAGGGGAGTCTATCCGTTAGTTGAAGCTTGGATTCTGGAAGAACGATTTGGTTTTCGTTCAGCTCTTTCTCAAGGATATTCAAGCATTTGTGGGAGTTTTCCCAACTTATCTCCATATGTACACACAAAACACAACTAGTAAACTTGGAGAAGGGATCCAGTTGCATTTCGGGATGTTTTGGGAAGTTGGGGTATGTGGTGTTCCTATCATGTCCCTGTACAGTGGGAGCTTGGTTCACATTGTTAGCTACAAGTCAGACTTGTTCTCGGCGGGTTTGACTTTGCCAGGACTGCCCTTCATCACGGACTCTGATGTAATTTTATAGACTCTCTAGGTGCTCTCTTTCTAGTGCAGGCATGGGATGGATGGTGTTGAGTTCAGCTATTTCAGGATCTCATCTCTGCTTTGGGTAAATAATGTGGTCTTGTTGACTTCATCGAGCAATGACTGCTAATTTGCACTGAGGCGGTTTGCTTTATGCTCTATATCTGACCCATTGCTCTCACAAATCACTGAGGATAGTGGTTGTGGTTCTCTAGGTGCTCTATGTCAGTGGTCCCCAACCCCCGGGCCTCGGACCGGTATCGGTCCGTGAGTCGTTTGGTGCCGGGCCGCGAGAGTTGAGGATCAGGTGTGAAATGTATGGTTTTCAGGGTTTTTAATCGGTTTCAGCGTTATTTTGTGCTCTGTTACCTGCCGCTCACTGTTAATGTCTGTAAGATGTTTAGTCTTAGTGTTTTAATTCTATGACCACATACCTGTGGTCAGAGCTGCATATATAGACATAACTACCAGACACTTTAAAGATGACTTGTATGAAAACAGATGGTTCGATCTTTATGTTAACATAGTTGAGTAACTTGTCTGGGTTTCAGCCAGGGAATAAACAGCTCTAAACTGTTAAACATGTGACATTACATGTATTTCACTGTGGCACTTTATGTGATGAAAATGCATGGGTACATATTGGTCTCTGACAGTGTTTGTAGACTTTTAAATGGGACCTATTGTGTGTATCTGTCACATTTTTCAATGTTGGCTTTTAAATTACACACATGGCTAAAGTTTCAGATAATCTGGCTGCAGACTGCTCCATATGCTCGCTGTCAGGTAGTTGTTTTTTATGCACAGCAGCATGAGATGTCATAGAGAAGGGATATCTCTGCGTTGGTCATCTAAGGCCCACAAACCCCATCAACCTGCTGTTTAAACCGCTGGTTTGGGAGGGGCTTCCAATCAGAAGAAAGTCATCTTAACCAGAGGGGAAAGGGGAGGAGCTACTACTGAGGGCCAGTGACTGTGGCATAACTGCTCTAATAGTGTACAAGAGTGAAAATATGGAGCACAGTGAGGTGTAAAAGGTGTTAGTGATCACATTAAGTCTGTTCTGTTTAGGTGTACAAACTTAATTAACATGATTACTAAACGGCTCATTTCAGTTCTGCAGCTCCTTTCACCAAGTGTCAGCAGCTCTAACTACATTTCAGGAAACAGCTTTTTGATGTGTGTGATGTGAACAGTTCCTTTGCTGTGTCCTTTACAGGGTGGCTTCCCTTCAGGTTTGGACTCTGTGAGAGGGACTCGCCACCACGGGCTGGTCGAGAGGGTCCACAGGGACCGCAACCGTATCAACTCTCCCCATCGCCGACCCCTCGACAAGCACGGCCGGCAGATATCCTTTAAAGCCTGAACGAACGATAGTTTCTGTGCAATACGGATGTTGTCATCATCATGAAAGGTGAATCGACGATGAGAAAGTGGGTGCTGTGGCTTCCAGGTGGTTTTTGTTTTGTTTGTTAATGGTTTGTGTTCATAGTGAGCTTTAATGTGACGACACTTACTGGTGTAGGCAGATGTTCTCTAGCCTCAGGAGCAGAATTAGTCATTATGCTAATTTCAAGTGTGACGCAGAGACAATGTGCTTGCTTTTTCCTAATAGACACTGACAGCAGGAGATTCTCAGCATCGTCTGAGAGCACACTGAAGGTGTGGGTACATATGTGTGTGCTTTGCATGCACGTGTTGCAGTAAGTGAGACTTTCATGGTGAAGATGCAGGAGCAGAGCGGTGATTGTTTGACTCGTAGCTGCGACCTTCATCTCATCATGGAGTCTCATCACAGCTGAAATGAGCAAGAGAAGAGAAATCATTTCGTTTTATACGTCCTTGTAGATTTCACGGTCGGCAGTGAAATAATTCAGGATTTGTACGATTTTACGATGCACAGTTAATTACTGTGATTGTTTTTAGCAGTCAGCAATTACATGCGCGGTGTTTGTCAGGATGCATAACAGCTGCGTAGGCAGTTCACGTATAATAATTTAACTCATGAATGATGAGCAACCATTATAAGAGATGAGAGAAGTAACTTGGACAGACTGTTCTAAAAATGAATTTGCAGTGCAGGAGAGACGGCCCGATTCCTTTTTAGACTGAGCCTGTTGTGTGCTGTTATCATTATCCAACATGCAATCGCACAAAAACAGTAGCTGCTTCTAACCGATGACTGAAACATCAGTTTCTTGATGTGGATTCATTCACACCCAGTTTTTTATATTTAAATTAAACATTTGTTCACACTTCTAGCAGCCCTACTTGTTTCTTCTTTCCCTGCCTCTGCACAGATGTTGAAGAGAAGCTCTTTATATATAAAAGTTTATATATCTATACTAACTGACTTTAGTAAGATTGCCAAAATAAAATCAATACTCTGGTTTGAATCAATACCAAAGTTGTTGTGCATCTGTTACACTATAATGAAACAAGTGGTAACTTGTGGGGTGGCTGCATGCCAAATATCCTTGGGCAAGATAGAGTTGCTCTGTGATGTGTCCACTGGAGTGTGAATGCTGGATAGAAAAGCACCTGCGTAGAAAAAAAAAAACAACCTAGAAAAACGTGCTCGTACAGATGGGTGTGAAAAGCTAAATGAGCCCAGTGTAGAAAAGTGCGATATAAGGACCAGTCCATTTACTTTGTTTGTTAAGTTCTAACTTGGCCCTGTGACAGACTGGTGAAGACATTGTATGGATGGACACGTAGATGTGTCCACTGTTTCCCAGGCATCGTTTTCACTTGGACCCATTTATATCAACAGCAGCTCAACATATTTGGTGATTTCTTTGTATCTGAGCAAACAATGCTATCCGTAATCGATTTGCTAGTAGATGCCCTCATTCTTCTTTGAACCTTTTAGTCACTGCTAACCAGCTAGCTGCAGTCCTTCACACCCTGTGCTTCTCTATTGGCTGACCAAGTTGCTGTTGTGGTGGTGCTTGACATCATTTAGTGGCTTTTTCTAGAAGCTCCACAGTTATCTTCCTGCTGCTCTGGAGCAAGCTGGGCCCTCTAACCACAACCTGCAGGTAGACTGGTTCCTGTGGGCCTAAGTAAATATAACTCCGCACCAGTAGGCGGCAGGGTAAAGTGTCTTGCCCAAGGACACAACAACCAGGACAGAGAGCCTGGGGATCGAACCGGCAACCTTCCGGTTACAGATGCGCTTCCCAACCCGTGTTGCTAAAGACTGAAACACACCACACCTCTTCCAAAGCTTACGACAGCTTCATTAACTGCTGTATGAACACTGCCTTCAAAATATACACATTACATATACTCTCTATTTCAGTTAAGTTTTGCAGCTGTACATTTCCAGATAGGAGCATAAGCTGCACTTCCTTTTGATCACTTTTGTTTGACATAAAACAATAAAGTTGAGCCCAGTTTGCAGACCTTTGTTCTGCTTAACAGTTAAAGAGCTGTGATTGTGGTTCACATCAGCGAGCAGTAGAACAGGATGAGAGATTAGGATGGATAGCTTTGTTTGTTTTCTAATTTTAATGAAAGTTGTATACTGTAATGTAACATGTAACCCGGGTGGGTCCCCCGTGTTGATGTTTGATCTCGTAGTATCAAAACAAAAGCGGTGGTGTCAGTTCTGTGCATTGGTGTCTGCAAAGGTCAATAATGAGGTGTTTGTTGCTCAGAATGGGCCCTGTGGGACAGGAGGCCATCTAAGCACCTGTGCTTCATGGTCACATGGTGTCATGGCCTTCCTGTTTAATATCTGATTATTTCAATAGTAAAAATGTACATCGCAGTAGCGGAAATGAAACTTTAGTCAACAACACTGGTTAGAACTGCTGAGAGCCAAATCTGCCACTGTGCAGATAAAAAGCTGGGGGGAGGAGACATGTCATCGTTGCCCTATTAGGATTGAACAGTAATCTTTCTGTCAGCTAGGCTACTGATGATTGGTTGAACTTGAGCTGGAAACTCGACCTTCTACTTACTCTTTACTTGTTACGTGGTGATTACAGGGGGCAGCACAGCACCTTCAAAATAAAAATGACAAATTTGATGTCAGTCTGATCCTGACTATGAAAGTTGGAGATGCTGTCATCGTGACAATGGGACAAACTATGAGCCTGATCTGTTTGATTCAGTCATCAGCAGTGTAGCTCAGGTTGAAGGTATTCCAGTTGCTTTTGTCTTAGGCACAGTCAGGTCGTGTGTGTTGTTACTGCTGGAAAGATCCGAGGACGACCTGTGCTGCACACTCTCTTTTTCTGTTTGTTACGTTAAGCAGCTTTCTCACCTTCATCGATACGCACATATATACACTCCACCTTTCATGTCAGCTCTAATGTTCACATTGCATGCATGTGTTTGAGGAGGTGCACTCACACTGAGACTTGGAGCAGTGAAAGGAGAAACTAGCGTGACTGTAAATGACAGCTTAATGAATGCAGACTCACGCTGAGACTGGACCATTAGTTAAAATCACAAAAACATGTAATGAAGTGTGTCTGTATCAAACGACACCTGAAGCCGAGACACTTGTAGTGGATTGTTCTTCTGTTTTTAACAGTGGCAAATTTTTAAAATGTGATGGTGGCTCCAATAGGCCAGAGAAATGCAGGGTGGGCTGATTTTGAATGATTTTCCCATTTCAGGCTCACTGCTCATATAGAAGAAGGTTGTTCATTCATTTTTCCTCTTTGTGCGCTCCGGGCTGGACTCCTCCATTGTAGCTGTTGAAAGGTGTTAATCCAGTTTGACTGGATCATGGCCTCTCTGCTCTGTATCTGGGCCTGTCCGATGTTTTGTGTGAGAACTGATGAATGACACCAAGTATCTAGATTGTAAATCTGCCCCATGTCAATAATAATCCATGTGATACAGATTCTCCTGGAACAGCCGTCAGTCTCGCGTGGCTTTGCTTGAATTAAGCAGCTACCCCGTATTTCCAAAACAAAAGACCTCAACTCGCTGAAAGAGTAACTGTTGGCAAGACGAAGCGCCACCCTGCCCTCTCGCAGACAAAGCCAGGAACTCTGCATCAGCATTCAGGAGTAAATCAAATAATGCTGCCATTGTTTCATGTTGTTCAGCAGTCAGGTTGTTGGGCAGCATGTTAGAGCAGGAGTCTCCGCTTTAAAACATCCAGGATGGCGTGCCCTCTCTACTGTGCACCACAGCGTGTGTATAAAGGCAAACATGTCTTTCTTAAATGTTGTTTCACTGAGTGTTTTGGGACGGTCGGTTCTGTTGTTCACACCTTTTCTCTGCTGTACATCACTTCAGCAGGGCTTTGACCTGCTTCTTATAGACAGAACACATCTGCATATCTTTTATAATGAGGTTTAATTCTGACTGTTGTGTTATGGTGTTGATGTGTCACTCGTTTCCTTGACCAAAGCCTACATAGAGAGCTCTCCGTATGGAGCGGTGTACCTGTCGCCACCTCCGGACAACAACTGGAGAAGGTGAGTAGAGCCTCCGAGCTGCTGACAGAATGCTTATCGTCTTTTCTTCTTCCTCTAACTGGATCATTTTACAACAGGAACCATTTGCTCCTGCCAGTGTATTTCCCATATCAAGTCTGTCTGTGTGCTAGCTGTTATTTTCTTTTAAAGTCCAGACCCCAGCTATCTCGATTGAACACAGATCAGTGAGTAATGGCTGAGTGAGGTGCTGGAGCAGGCTGTTGGGTGGAGTTGTTGGCCTCGACTGTTTCTGCACAAATGTTTCAAGTGTGAAAATGCTGCGTTGGCCCTGAGAAGCCTGCGCCTCACTGAAGGTGTCTGACAGATAGCCTTTTGTTTTAAAGGTCATGCCCAGCAGCAGTCATCCTACTGCTAAGGGATTTGTGTTGTCGCTGCCCGTGGTGCAGAATCACCAACTTAGCTGAAACTCTGTCTCGGCATCTGCTGGAAGACTGTGCTGGGCTGGACGCCTGAGCTCTGATCGTGGCTGCGTAGAGCAGTCAGTGTGCTGGTAGACAGCTTTTTCTCTGTGTTTACAAGGGAGTGAATTATGGGCCTGTGATAGAAGAGCTGAGCCAAGCTCCTCCCTTCTCACTCTTTCAGTCTTGCTGTGTTTCCACACTTTGTGTTTTGTATGCCGTCTTGGCCGGCTGCCGATCAGCCTGCCTCGTTTTCTTCCACAGCAGCGACGCAGACATTGGCTCTGCGTTGCAGTGTACTATAACAGCTTGTGCCGAAGAACTGAATAAGGCCCACGCCCTTGCGTCATTGTTGATAGCACAAAACAGGTTGGCTGACAAACGTCCTCGCGGAGCAGCCAGACGTCAGCGCACTCGGAGTAGGCGTGTTTCTTACTGAGCCATGTGGCACAAAGAACTAAAAGCAGATTCGTGCATATAATTTCAGCACCGCTGCTTTTGTCTCAGACCTGTTCGTGGTGAATGGTTGAGCTTGTGAATTTAGAGTATGAGCAAACGTGACGATCATTTTGACGTGATTCAGTCACTGGACCTTCTGGCATGAAGGCGCACACAAGTCTATGAACGATAATGTGAACTCGTCAATCGATTGAATGAGTCTTCAATGGGTTGTGACTCAGTTGTGCTAGAGGATTTTTTTCATAGTTTCTCTGTTTATAGGTGCAAAGTACTCAATCTAAAATCCAAATACTCTTATGTAAACTGCCAAAAAACCCTTTGTTATGCTTGTGGTCATTTTTCCTTTCGTTTTCTTTTCCTGTTCCCTCTTCGTGCCCCTCTGCAGCTCCATCAAGTCTCTGCAGATCAAATCGAGCCTCCTGCTCCAACCTGCAGCAGATTGCTGTCACAGTGTGTAACAGGGATAAGCTTCCCCCTCAGCAGTGGATTTTGGCCTACTTTACTGTCACAGGCAGAGGAACTACGAGTACCATAATGCTGGTTATAAGGCGTACCATAAGTGGAAACACATTGGGCAAACTCTGCTGCCCAGTTTGTCTCAGTAGAGCTTGAAAGCTCAGAGAGCATCCCTGTCCCCCTGCTTAATGTTCGCATGTTCACCTGACATCCGAGGGCTTTACATATGTTTTCATTTGCTTTTTAGTTCTAATGATGTAGTTCATCAATCTGAGATTTGTATATCTGGCTGAGCCAAGACAAACAACAACAAAATGCTAAGTAGCCTTCCTGAATTTTACTTATCACAGTTTCCAGATTGTGGGTTTTGAAAAGCTGATAAGAAGTTTAAACGTTGACTTAATCCATCAGTTTATTATCCCAATTTGAAAACAAAAGGTTCAGAATATTGAATCTGGCATCGTAATAATACTCGGAAGATGCTTATAACCGTCCATGAATGAGGTTAATCAAGGTTCAAGATTCAAGGTTCTTTAATACAAGAGCATTTAAGATTTAAGCTACAAAGATCCAATTTCAAATCCCTTTGAGGACCAGGGGCACGCTGTGGTCTCATGCCAGTGCCACTGCTGAAAATGAAAAACTGTAACGTAATCAGATCTTTGCAATCAGAATAAGTTGCTTTCAATGTTTCATATGATTTAAGACTGAAATCGATGAAGTAAAGCTGTTTCTGCTGCTCTTCTCTTTGATCAATATATGATGTTAGATCAGAGTAAAGTGCTTGGGAGCCATAAATAAGGACCCATATTAGCCCGTCCCCTCTTAGTTTTCGTTTTTCTTAAACATATGCATATTTGTACTTAAACAATGGAGAAGTACTTCTCTTTTTTGACTCTGCACACAACCACGTTTTCATAGTCACTTGTTGTCATTTGCACGTGTCTGCGTTTGAGACGCCTCGAGAAGCGACAGCGGTCATCTCTTGATGATAATGCAGCCATAGCTATTTTACAAATCGGGTCACGGTCCTTGGACCACCTGCGTTTGGCAAGTGTCCTCGTTCTGTAAGCTGTCTGTGTGGACCAAATAAGTGAACACAACACAAGCTCCCCTCTGCACTGTCACTGTTATGCTTTTCCTCTCAGCCTGCTGACGGATATGTAGCTTGGATAAAGACATAACACATGATTGGAGGGGAAACAGGAAATGTGTTTGGCCTGAACTTGTGTCACATTTGGGAAGCTCTTCTTCAACTGGTTGGCCAGGAAGTCCCATTGAAGAAATTTTGTGTGTTGCAATCCTTTGCAAGAGGCTAATGTTCATTTGTTTTCCATATTTAAACCCACTCAGTCTCATCCAAAGACCCCATCTGTGGCTAAGGTTAATAAGCATTCATGGAAATAGTCTCAGGCCCTTGTGTTGTTACAGTCAGAAGCAGATCCTCCAGCTAGACTGTCTCAGGGGAGAGTGGGGTGGTAAGTGTTTACAGCGCCAGCTACATCTGCACTACATTACTGTTAGTCAGTTGTGGAGAAGAGCCACAAAACACTTTAACCGTTTCGTTGCATTAGCTCAGCAGTGTGTTCGGTTTCACTGCTTAAAATCAGCCGCTCAGAAAGGACACACAGCAACCAGGAGAAATCTCATCATATTTTGCTGAGTTTTTGGTTTGATGTCATATGCTGCACTGAGTAAAAGTTTGACAACAAGCCCAAACATGTTGGCAGAGTAATAAAGAGCAATGGTGAGGGCCAAGAAGAGCAACATGATTCAGTCCTGAGCATGTGATGGTAGAACACAGTCTACATGTAATGTATCTACATACAACCTTGAGTTGGTATACGCTGTGGAGAGACCTGTGTTCGATTGTAACCCAGCTTCTATAAACGTTCGAACCAAAAAGCAAAGCAACAATAAGAGGTGAGGTGCTATTACAGGGGAAAAGATCACTGTTAAGTCAAATATCCACATGTCAGTTTGGGCCACTGTGTTTTTGTGATGGTATAAAACTAACAGCTATAAAGCTGTGAATACGTTAATGTTTGAAAGTGTCAGAGCTAGCTACAGTAGCTTTCTGACAGCTAACATATAGGGCGCTAAAATAATCCTTAAGGTGTTTCGGAGCTTAGTTGCAAAGAATGGATCCAAATTAGGGAAACTTGATTTCCCGGGAATTGTGTGTGCGGCACTGTTGGCCTCCGCAGAGCCCGATCTTAGAGTACTTGAAGAGAAAATCTCCAGATGAACTGTGGCAGGTCTGGATAAAGTGTGTACACAGCACAGAGTACACACTTTACCAGCCGCTGTTAGAAATAAGATGGTGTTTTAATAAAAGCTGCTTTTCATGAAGATGATTGAAAAATATATATTTGCATTCATTAGCACATCTGTCCTCTTGTAAACAGATGACTGATGTTGAGGTTTACAGACTCTGTTACATAAGCTGAGGGATTGCCAGGCATGAGAGAAATGCAGGGGAACAGAGCTGTTCACATAGCCTTTAACCGCCCAGTGACCAGCAGTCTGGCCAAAGGAATATTTTATCATCTCTCTGGATTTTCTTTTTCTCTGAGGGGAAAAAGAGTTGTATCCTAATGCGTCCATCTGTAGTGAGTTGAGCCAGGGTTTTTGATATCCACCATCTGTCCTTCCTACACACCGACACCTTTCTGAACAGTCCAGTGTTAAAAAGGTGCGTTGTTTTTTTTGTGTGTGGGAAGACTGTTCTTAAAGGGGGTTAGGTCCTAAAGATGCTTCAGGCATAAAACCTGAGTACAGCTCTGGGTCCCTTTGGAGACCATCTGCTTCAGGGTCAGAGCATCAATGCAGTCCCACGCTCTGCTTCTCTTCCATGCACCCATCTTTGGCCTGCTGTTCCTGTACCAGCCTCTCTCGGGATGAAATCTCAGCCCAGGCTCCCAGGAGGCTGCAGTGCAGAGAAGAGGACTTAAATTCCACCGCAGTCTCTGTCGGAGATGTTTTGTGACGATTGCTAAGGGATTGTGCCCTCGGTCTGATGGCCCTGGTGGCTGCTGCTTTTTCTATGCATTTATTGAATGAGCTGTGGGTTTTTTGTGTATTTGTTTCAACTAAACAACTGCTGTCTCACCTGAAAACTGCGTCATGCTGCTGCTGCTTAACACAAACGCCGGTTGGCATTCACATGTACAACATGGCATTGACATAACCCGTCTTGGATGAATTTAGACCGGTCTGCCCCTTTTAACAATCACACGTATTTGTGCAAGTTAAATATTTGTTGTGGGATGGGTGGGATGCCACAGCTCGTCTGCATTCCTTTGCCTACGTCATATCTAAATATAGCTACCGGTTGTACTCCCTGCAGTAACAGCCAGGTAATGTCGCACACGTAGTGTTGTTTGTTGTTTTTACAGTTGCATGAATGCAGTAAGTTGTCAGGTAAGTCTGGAGGTTTGCAGACATTTATACTCACAAAGCTTAATAGTAACACTAATCGTGTTTCCAGCACGGCACTCTGGGTGTTGGTTTCCTGAGACGCTTCTGTCACAGACTGTTGGAGGTCAGAGGTTTGTCTTAAACTGTCAGCGTTGCTAACATGAGTAAGTGTTGCGTGAACATTTGTGCTGATTTGAGAAAACATGATTCCAGCCTACATCATTGTAGAGACATCCTATGATACGATATTGTCACAATACTTCACTCACAATGTGATATTATTGCGATTTTTAATATTTTGCAATATACCAAGAATTGTAGTAACCACAAAATTATGGAGTCAGTCTGCTATAAGTCTATTAGATGGGGTCAAGTCTGCAATTACATGCAATCTATGTGTGATACATGATTGACAATCACACGTGTGTTGCTGTCTACACAGACGGAAATTCTCATTTTACTGTTAAATTTGTGCTCAGTTACCTTCCTGCTCAAACTCACTCAGCCTGATGGCAACATGCTGGCAATCTGTGTGCGTTTATAAATGAGAAGTTATTTGCATCAACAAGCTCTGAGTGAGCGTAGTCAGTCAGACTGCAACTGTTTGCCTCGTGTCAGGCGTAATGAGCCTCTTCAGGGCTTGCAAAATCGCTAGCCCGACGTCCTGGGGCTAGTGATTTTTCCAGTCGGGCTACCAAAATCTACCTTGCCCGTCGGGCTATCATAGGAAGGAAAAATATATGTCAATGCTTTTGCATTCTTTTGGAAATGTAGCTGGGTAATTATGTCATTGGCATCGGTGAGCCACTG